GTATCAAAAAAGTCAATACCTGCTTTCTGTGTATAGCCCTTGGCCACTAACCTGGCCTTGTACCTACCCAATGAACCATCAGAGTTATATTTTACTTTGTAGACCCATTTGCAACCAATACAGTTCTTACCAGGAGGTAGATCAGTTATTATCCAAGTATTGGTTGATTCTAATGCATTTAACTCTTTAGACATGGCATCTTGAACATTTGGGTCTTTAACAGCTTGCTTGTAAGTTTTTGGTTCAGGTATGGTACTTATGGATGCAGTGAAGCATGAATGCATGGCTCCAAGTCTATCAGTGGTCAAATGCTTATGTATGGGATAATTGGATGTACCAGAAGTGATGTGCATCAGTGAAGGATATGAGAAGAATGTGGAATAGAGTGGTTGTATATGTTGATATAAGACGGAAGCTTTTTGGTTCTTGTGGATCTCCTGACTGGGGTTGGATTGTTTGGAGGTGATAATGGGGGTTGTGTAATATTGGTGTCAATGTTTGATTGGGGCTGTGTAGTATTGGTATTGATATTTGGAGATGATAATGGGGGTGTATTATGTGGAGCAGAAAGAATGGCAGAGGTATTTGTGTTTGAAGGAGTCTGAGATGATTGAGGTTTTGTATTGTCATAGAAAAAGGGAGATGGGTGTGGAAACATAGGATCAGGATGAGTATTAAAGATGAGAAGTTTGTCTTTGAAGGGAAGCACAGACTCATAAAAGGTCACATTTCTGGTGATTAATGTATGTTTGGTGTCCAGGTTGTAAAGCTTGTAACCTTTACAACCTAATGGATATCCAAGTAATATGCACTTTGATGATCTAAGTGCAAACTTAGACCTGTGAGATGTCAATGTAGATGCATAGCATAAACAACCCATTACTTTTAAATGATCATAAGTGGGTTGTTTATTGTAAAGTATCTCAAAAGGACTTTTGTTATTTAAAACTGATGATGGGACTCTGTTAATGATATGCACAACAGCTAAAACACAATCCATCCAGAATTGTAAAGTTAAATTTGCATGAAAGAGTAATGCTCTAGCTACTTGCAAAAGATGTTGATGCTTTCTTTAAGCTCTCCCATTTTGTTGAAGAGTTTCAACACAGCTTGTTTGATGAAGAATGCCAGTGTCATGATAGAAATTATGCATGAAGAACTCAGTACCATTATCAGTTCTAATGCATTTGATGCTTTTGTCAAACTGAGTTTTGACCATGTTGTAAAAATGCATGATGTGATGAGATGTATCAGACTTTGCAAGTAAGGGATAAATCCAAGTAGTTCTACTATGATCATCCACAATAGTGAGAAAATACTTATGACCAGAATAAGAAGGGACTGAAAATGGACCCCAAATATCACAGTGAATAAGATCAAATGGAGCAGAGGCTGTAGAAGTACTTACAGTGTATGGTAGTCTCCTTTGTCTAGAGAAATGACAAATATCACAAGGATTGATATCAAAAACATTGCCTTTATTTACAGTAATAGGTAGCTGAACAAGTTTATGAAAAGAAAGATGTCCAAGTCTATTATGCCAAACAGTGGCATTAGAAGAAAAATTTGTAGAATCTGAAAAATTACAAACCGAATTACAATTTGGATTTTCAAGAGTGAGATGGTATAAACCATTCTTAGCTTCAGCAAAACCAATCATTCTGTTGGTGTTCAGCTCATGTAATTTGCAATAAGAGGAAAAGAAACTAACTAGGCAATTGTTTGTGATAGTCAATTTTGAAACTGAAATGAGATTGAATGTGAAAGTAGGAACAAGTAGTACATTGTGCAGTACAAGATTAGGCCCCAGATTTATCTGTCCCACATGACTTGCACAAGTACTTTGTCCATTTGGTAAATGCACATTTATGGAAATTGGGGAAGGGGGTGAAGTGAAAAGACTTGGATCACAAATCATATGGTCAGATGCTCCAGTATCTAAAATCCAAGTATACTTGTTAAACAAAGTTTGATTTATCAAAATACCTTGGTTATTGTTTGCAATGGTTGCAGAAGCAACAACAGGAGTGTGATTATGCTCCCCAACTGCCTGTTTGTGCTCAAAGGATTTCTTAAATTCCATGAACTCAGTGAAAAGATTGTCATTAGTAACATTGTCATTGGAAACAGTGGAAACAGAGTTGACAGATGTATGATCAGAATGAACCTTAGGACCTTTAGGGCCCTTCCAATGAGGTGGATAGCCTATGACTTGGTAACAATGATCTGTGGAATGATTGGTAAGGCCATAGTGGTTGCATTTGTATTTCTTTTTGTCTTTCTGAAAAGGTTCTCTCTGAAAGGGTGGCTTATATGGTTTGAAGGTAGAGGATGTGGTGGTATTAAAAGCCATGGCAACAGTATCAAAAGGTTTGGAAGAAGAGGATAAATTTCTCTGGCTTTCTTCTTGAAGAAGGAGGGAATATACTTTTGAGAGAGGAGGCAAAGGGGAAGACAACAAGAAATGACTCCTCAAAGAAGAATAGGAGTCATTCAGGCCAATTAGGAATTTCATGACAGAGTCTGACTGTTGTGCATTTGTCATAGCATCAAAAATGTTACAAGTACAAGTAGTGAATGCACCACAATGACAACGAAAAATAGGCCTGTAAGTAATGTACTCATCCCATAAGCCTTTAAAAGAATTGTAGTACTGAGTTATAGATTGAGAGCCCTGATCCATAGAACTTAAGATTTTTCAAGTTGGAAAACCCTAGGACCACTAGACAATGCATATCGGGCTCTAAGTTCATCCCAAACCTCTTGAGCAACAGAGAAAAATAGCAAAGACTGACGAATATCCTTACTCACAGAATTTAATAACCAAGACAGTACGAGATTGTTCGCACGCACCCATGCAAGAGACTCAGAAGGATTTCTAGTAGGATTAGGTGCAGAAATTGTACCGTCAACGAAGCCAAGCTTATTTTTGACACTCAGGGCCATAGAAACAGCACGAGACCACGAAACATAGTTCTCACCGGTAAAGAGTTCGGCAACAATGAGCGCGTCTGGATTGTCGCTGGCATGGACATAGTACGGGAAGATCGAATCATCAGTAGGGTTAGGGTTTGCCATCGAATAGATCTGATATCGAAATATGACAAAATAGCCGAAGATTCTCAAGGATCTAGTAGGATTCTACAACGATCTATCACACACAAGCGCAGATCAAAGGAGAACAGCTACAAATCTAGGGTTCGTGATGTGCTAGAAAAAAAAACGAAAAAGATCGTGAAATATGTATGAAATCAGAAAGCAAGTGCTACGGAAAAACACCAAAGATCGAAGAATCTTGCGAATGATACCATGTTAGTTTATTGATTTGAACAGAGAATCGAGAATTGAAGATGAACAGATAGATGAAGACGATGAATCGCCTGAGAGAGAGAGAGAGAGAAAATAAATCTGCAAAAATATTATTGAAAGGAAAAAGTATGTATGTAAAGTGCAATCTTGGTATTTATACCAAGGGTTTGTGTACAACAAAACCTAATGTAAAGTGAAAAAGGAATAAAGCGTGCTGGTCATGTAAAAGTGCTACTTTAAATACAAGTAAACCTAAATACAATTCTAATAAACAACTTATGTAATCTAACAGTCTTTAGTGCACAAATTAATTTGTGTCTACTCTCAACAAGAAAAAGTGACTAAATTGGTAAACTTAAACTTATAAAATACTTAAGCTGGCCCAAGAGATTGATAACTGTGCCACCTTTATCTAGATGATAGATTAATGAGTGCATTATGTTACAATAAGTTATTGTCATTTGTCTCACTTATAATTTATTTAGGGAAAATATATCTAACTTATAAGCCTAGTGAACTACTCTTCTTACAATTAATTAGTTTTGGGATGGTTTTTCCCGTTTCTTACCGTAGTTGTTGTATATAAATCATTGTCCTAATATCTATAAAATAATTACAACTAATAATGGCTCAAGGACTGCTTTTAGCACAAAGAAGGATACATTAAGGGATTTGTATACAAAATAACTCAATTCATACTCAATTTATATTCAAAATTTAACTCAACTCGAATATAAAAAACTCGTTTTGAGCGAATATATTTGTAAACACGCACACCCTAATGGCCTAATTCATTTTGAACAGAGTTATTTATATTGTCACATATAGCTAGCAAAACGAGTTTTTTTCTTTTTTTTTTTTT